GCATTATGCTGATTCAAAATATAGTAACATTTAGTATTTGCATGCCTTTAAAAAATGTTTTTGTGTTAAAAAATTAAAGACGGCAGTGGTAGAACTGGGAACTTTACCTGGTGCCAATTTCCTAAATCTGCCCCTGAAGTGAGGCGTTGAAGGTGTATAAAAAAAACAATTCCCCTTAATTTTTACTTGAAATTTAGACCACAACACAAAATTGTACAATATTGTATTACAATACGATATAGTTCATCTCAGGTTAGCAATAATATAATTCTAGAAATAAAATATTAGAAACAGAAAGGTATTGTTTTCATTAGTTTTGTTCAGCCGTTAAGGGAAATGGGATGTTTATTCACGGAGCGCATTTATTCGAAATGGTGTTCTGATGGGAGTTTACAGTGTCAGAGATTCCCCGAAGTAGTAGAAGGAGGGGGCCACTCACACCGTGTGACACAGCTCACAAATCTAACTCCGCTTCATGTTAAAAACAATCGCATTGGCTGACGACGGTCAGGTGCAATGACCCGGCTTAACAGGAATTTACTCCACAACCCTGAGATTGGAAGGCAAGCTTTAAGTCTCCAAGCTATTCTATTCCAACATATCACTGCCATACAGAATGGCTTATTGGCCCTGCAGGGCTTACAGTGTGTTGCAAATAATGGAATACACGTTACCACTGTTTTGTTGAAATAAAACTATAACACACAAAATTGCACTTACTGTTAAATGTAGTGTTCACCATCTCAGAATCCCCAAGCACATTACTTGCTTTCACACTGAAGATTCGCTTCATTTTGTCGTTCTTAATATCAATACATGAATTTTCTACATCTTCCCAACTATCAAGAAATGAAAATAGAAAAATATCATTTATTTAACTTTGCAAGCCTTCACATGACAGGGACCAGTGGCAGCACCAGGATTTGCCAGATGGTGGGTAACAACATCAGCATTCATGCAATATCCACTGCTACTTGGACATTGAATTCAACACATAGGCCTAGGCCATATACTGCTATACAGTTGACAGGTATCCTCCGTGCCTGAAATAGAAATCATCTGTCCGGGCATGTTGGAAAATAAGGGCCGTTTTCCGCATATATTTTGCCGAATCATAGACCTTCATGAGTTTAATGACTACAGTATATCCATAACCAATAGCAAAAAGTTATGAATTCTGCAAATCTGCCACCGATTTTCCGGGAAAATTTTAGCTAGGCCTGTGCCTACTCCACTTTAAAATATTATAATTATTAATGAATTTTTAAAAGAGTAGCCAGGCCTTTTAAATTAGTGCTACACCGGAATTTACTATAGTAGAGCAGCAGTCAGTTCAGTAGTGGCGTCGGTGTAAATTTACCTAACATAGGGGAGGGGGGGAGAGGGTGCGATTGAGGAGCACGATTGAGGAGGGGGAAGACAAATGCTCACTGACGGTGGCATATACATAGACAAGAGTGAAGACGTTCATGTATTCTTAAATTCATGATATTGCTATCTGATTGATAATGAAAAATAAAACTAAATAGGCCCATTTAAGTAGGTAATGAAGGTAATAAATACAGGGCCTAGTTTATTATTATAAACCCCCCCCCAAAAAAAAGCTCACTCTTCCCCAAGACGCTTCGTCCCATGGGAAATTTGCCTAGGGGCCTAGTCAAACAACCTCACTTCACTTTTTGCCAGAAAACTCAAAATCTCCCATCATTTATTCCCCCTCTCAAATGTCAAATCCTATATACTTATGGTCAAATACGAAAATAGTTTTAGCAATCCTGTCCTGTTGGAAAAGTTGACGCATATTACAGCAGTCTATAGGCCTCTCTGCTAATATTTACATGGGAGATGGGAATTTTTTTTTTTTTTTTGTGGGTAAATTATTTAGGGGGGGGGGGTTTTGGGGAATGTACTGACATAATGACATTTCCACGACTGCTGCGTACTCTATTCATGCTGCTTCATTTTTAATTATAATGCATCCCACACACTTTCTGCAGTAAATTGTCGACACAGTAAGCCTACAGTACATAAAGAAAGATGATCGTAGAAAATATATGTTGACTGGAATATTTATAACATACAAAACATACTATCATCAGTTTCGGAACCAATATTGTGAATACCTCAAAATAATGTTGACAAACAAAAATTCAATTAACTATTTTTGTTATTAAATAATATAGTTCATTGTCGTTGGTTGAATAAATAAATAAAATGAAACCCTTAATATGGCATGTGATACATTTCAGCAGTATATTTCAGTAGTAGGCCTATGCATTATTTCAGCATTTGCTGAAGAAGTAAACAGGTACAAGTTTCTTCCTCCATGCTTAAGATTTGCCCGTAGCCAGGGGAGTTCGTAGGGTTCGAACGAACCTCCTTTTCCTGAAGTGCCCTTTTTTGACTAAAAGTGCTAGCCTTTCTAGCTACAACACAAGAAAGTTTTCCTTTTCACCCCAAACAAGTAAGGCCTAGCTAAGCTGACGACGATATTTTAGCCTAAAATTTAACCTACATAATGAGTAAATCATTTTTTTAAAGACATTTTACATCCCCTTTCCGCTAGCTTATTCAGCGATGTATAGGCCAACGTAGGTCTCCTGGCTGCTACTAGGTTGTATTTATTTTTATGTAGAAGATAAAACTTTCGCGTCATGTCTAGGCAATCACCGATTCGAACGCAACACTAACATGTTTTTCGAGTTTCTGTCAATATAAATACAGACTATTTTTTTAAAGACGCGTTTCACGTCTAAGCAACCAGTTCGAACGCCCCCCACTAACGCGTTTGTCGAGATTTCGGACACAGTTCGCTTCTTGTCAACAACTTGACCTTTACCCTCCTTCCTGAGTTGAGCGTGTTCGCTGCGCGTGGTCTGGTTATTGACAACAAACAAGTAAGAAATCGTTATTCTTTCAAGCCTAGCAGTTTTATTTTTTTGAAAATCGTACCATACCAGGATCATGTCATTTTGCCAGTAACTAAAATAATTTGCTCTTTTGTTGTTGCTGATGGGTGTATATTAGAGCAATTAAATAAGGTGTGTATATGTAAAGAATGCTGTAGCTTCCGGGGGGCTTCGCATAGACCCCACCGGGAGCCCTAGGCGGCCCCCCCTGTCCCCCAGCCTGATGTGCTTGCTTCGCTCGCAAGTGCCCTTTACCTAAAAAAGAACCCCTGTCTGTAATTTCTGGCTACGGGCTTGCTTAAGATACAATCCAGGGAGCGACGTCTGGATGGCTGGTCACGTGGGCGGCCTTTTTAGTGATTAACTGGCTAGTTTTTAATCCAGGTATGCGAGCACTCTCAATGCGCCGGTGTGTGAACAAGAGCGTACTCTATACTTGCAATTGAAATAGGTCAATGGCCAACATGTACACACTACGTGGGAAAGTTCTTGCCATACGGTTCTTTATTTTATATTTTCAGGTATCTAAAAGAATAGCAGCCATATATTTGGACATTTTAGTGCCTCCTTTTTTTAAACAAGGCCTTTTTATCCACCATATTTTGAGTGGGCGATCCAGAACAAGTCTGACTTTCAGGGGCCCACTTAGGCCTAATACAACAATAATGTATAGGCCTATAAAAATATAGCCTATCAATCTATTATTCACTAAAATTACAATACAGCAAATACTTAATGAAAAATGTTAAATACAAAAATATAAAATTTGTATAATAAAGCCTACAATCAAACAATACACCATACAAACACTAAGAAAAAAGCTAAGAAAATAAAGAAAATAATTTGTCGTTTAAAATGGGTGGCTTAAGGTGTATTTTAAATAAAGCAGCGAGCTTAGTTTGATAGACCTATTGAGAAGAATAAAAAGAGTTAAATGATGTAACGATCTCTACTAATAGACGCTGTTATTCTATTGTAATTTAACAATGGGTGTGTTAAAGCTTAAATTTATAATCAATTGTTTAGAAAATGAGTGTCTGCGGGACTATTTATATTAAAATAAGTAGGATCCTACCCAAAATCCCACTGTGATCCCCGCCAGGATCCGGGTGGGATGTTAGGTGGGATCCTACTTGTACGACCGGGAATCCCACCCATAATTCCTGGTGGGATGGACAGGATCCTGGTCGTGATCCCGATTGGCATCCCAGTGAGACCCAGTTATAGTTTAGGTGGGATCCAACTGGGATATCGGCAGGATTGCTACCAGGATCCCACTCATCCCATCGGGAATTGGGCGGGATTCCCAGTCAGATGGGATCCCACCTAAAATCCTGCCGCGATCCCGGTTGAATCTTCGTGGGATCCCGTGATATTTTAGGTGGGATCCAACCAGGATATCGGCAGGATTGCGACCGAGATCCCACACATCCCACCTGGATTTATTAGCGGGATTCCCAGTCAGAGACGTGGGATCCCACCTACAATCCCACCCGCAATCCCGGTGGGATCCCAGTGTTATTTCATATGGGGTTCAACCGGAATAATAGGGGGAATCGCAACCGGGATCTCACATATCCCACTGGGAATTATGGGCGGGATTCCCGGTCGTACGAGTAGGATCCCACCTAACATATCCTACCCGGATTACGGCAAGATCTCAGTGGAATTTTGGGTGGGATCCCACTTCTACGACCGGGAATCCTGCCCATAATTCCCGATAGGACGCGAGTGGGATCCCAGTCGCGATCCCACTATGATCCCACCGGGAATCCCGGTTGTTTTTTTACTGGGGTAGCCCAGTGGACTAGTTTTTCTGACGATCTGGAGGTCGTTGGTTTAATTAAGCAAATAAAAATAAGTATAAACACTTACTGATCAAAACCATGACCAGAATCCCACTTTAGTTTTCTGTACTTGTAAGTCGTCTTCAGGTTGGTTGCTATCTTACTTGAAAGCCAGGAGCAATTGAAGTTAAAGTCAGGCTGTTCTATACAGGTAAGGTTTCTTACGGGTTGTGGCTTACCTGTGGAAAACAAGTTGTTTGTATTTATTCAGGGGCGGATCCAGAGATTTCCAAAGAAAATTGGGCCGATCGATTAACATTACCCCGCAAAATTTTCTCTTTTTTCAAACTTACAAAAGGGGATGAGCGGGGACCCCCCCCCCCACCTGCCTAAATCCGCCCCTGTTATTTAAACAACTTGTGTTTTTATGTATTATTTATCATTCCATCTTTTCAATGAGATGGCTGTCAGTTTAGTAAATAAATTTCAACAAATTAACGAAATCAGAAATCACATGGTAATGGATTGGGCCCCAAGTTTTTGCCGCGAAGATTTGGAACTTGTAGAATCGGTGCATAAAAAAAATACTTTTTCTTTCAAGTAAGCTTCAGTTCTTTAATAACAATAACATGACTTTGCGGCCTTAGGCCGAGTTGCGCACGTATAGATGGAGCCTAGCAAGGCAGGATTTAATGTTTTTTCATGGCATTATGTACCAGTTATTATAGGCTAGACATATATAAAACGGCATATTGTAAACTGTGTGAATTTATATAAGAAGACATGCAGTTAATTTCTGCAAGTTTTAACTCTAGCTGTAGACTTGAGATCCCTGTAAGTCTGACAATCTTGGCCAGCAGACCTAACTTTTCAATTGAATTAAGTTTAAACACAATAATAATTTTTCAAATTCAAAGCTAAAAATCACTGGTATTATACTTACGTCCAACAGTGATGGACACATTTTCCCACAATTCATTGCCCTGATCGAATCCACAAGAATAATTACCACTTTGATCAAATGAGAGGATATTTATCATCAAAACAGACATATTGCCAGCAACTTCTGCAGTTTGTGGTAATGGATCACCATTGAACTTCCATGATATTTCTGATGCTGACATATTTGTATTAGATTCACAGTATATTTTTACACTAGTGTTCACTTTGAGCTCCACAACTTTTGATGAGTTCAGCATAGTGACTGAAATAGAGAAAAAGTTATTAGGATCCATTAAAGTCGACAGAAAAAAGTACATGTTTATTAATTCACAATTCACAAATATATAAATAAAGATATAAACATTCTTCTAAATTTCAAATTGTTCTGAATCACTGAGCTTTCAAATATATTTATCATCATTATGAAATTACAATAAAACAATTTATGAATATGAAAATAAAGAGGATGCTGTGGATTCAATAAATATGCAATAATGATGTGATAGATTTAATATAATCAATACAAATATTAAACATAAATGCATTCAACATTTTTAATAAACAAGTGTGAAACTTTTTTTGGTAATGTTGATTGTTGGTTTGGCCTTAAAATTTCATTTTAAATTAACTTTTAATTTTTAATAGTGTACTGACTTATTATTAATATTTTTGTGATTTCCTTTAGAACATTTTTACAGATTTTGATTTTTAATAATAATAAAAGTACTGGTATGTTTTTTTTTTTAAATTATGTTCTTTTAAGAACATAAATTTTAAAAAACACAGAGTTTTAAGCATTTCTCCATGGTTTAAATGTGGAGAAATATGTTTTTTCTTTTTTAATATTCATTTTTTAAGCCCTGTCAAGACTATCCAATTTTATTTGGCAAAAAAAATGTGACATGCCAAGAATATGCTCATGATGATAATATATATGGACATACAACAATGTTTTTGTCAAAGAAAAATTGATTCTGGACAAATCCTATGCCACCCTGACACTTGCATGATTTTTGTCTTCTTGCAATTCCACACAATGCGTCGTGGCAAGGTGTACCATTCGGTGGTAGAGAGCGGAGCGTAAAGCCAGGTTTGCGGCCTGTTCGCGCACTGTACACAAATAAGTTACACAAGGGCCAAAAATGGGCTGCATTGGCACGCAATGACACTACTTGTTTATGCATATGTTAAGTATTGTTCTTGCACTGTTCACGTCTACCATACCACATTATCCTACAGTGTTACGCATGACACACATAGTTCCCGCTGTCGCCCCGACAATTTATCACATGCAGGCAATTTTTGGCCACGCTTTGTCCCATTTGGCGGCACTCTATATATGCAGTATAGGTTTCACACTAACTTTAATCCTCGACTCACTGTTGATGACATGCTATGCCAGCGACACTGTTATTGCAGAAAAGAGAGAGTGTCTTTATCTGGCAGGTGCAGGACTATTGCTTCTTAAAGGGCAGGAGAAAAGGCAGCAAGAGCATTGACAAGCATCGTCGGCCGTGTTTGCGCAGAGTTCACGCATGGTTCATGAAGTAGCACACACATGGCACGAATATTGATTATTGCACCCCGCACCCTTCACATATTCCTCACACTCGTTCCCGCAGACTTTAATTATTGACACGCCGAAGTGCGCACCACTGCGAGAATGCAAGTGTCAGGGTGGCATTAGGCAGATTACCAAAAGATTTCCAAGAGCAAAATTCACTGTCTTTATGAGACAAATCTTTTCGAAAAGACAAAACATATGCAGTATACTCTACATATACTATCCCAGCTAACAGTTTTACATTATAATTGTTACAATAATGTTACAGATTGATGAGCAAAACATTTTTCTACAAAAACCATGCGTATTCACATTATAAGGTACTTTCCAACTAAATTTATGTTCAAAAGGCCTTCTATCTGAAGTAAAGTTACGACAAACGTAAATAATTATGCAATTATTTCTAAGGATGAGTTCACACATAATGCTAATCCAAGACATAATGTCCTTTTTACATGAAGGCTAGTTCTAAGCTTAGACAAGATTTTTTTTATACCTTGCTTTGATACTTATTATTCTAAAGATCATCAGAGGAGGGGGAACATTTTTTGTTTATTTTGTTTTCTTATAGCAAATGATTTTTCCCAAGACATCCAGACAGAGGTGAAGACCAAAATAAAATGTTATTGTTGAATGTAAACAGTGTAGTAACCTTATTTTTATGTGCGGTACAGTACCAGAGGATGTACATAAATCCAGGGATTTGTAGAATCAAGGTTGGGTTAAATTTGCAGTGACCTTTGACCTACATGGTGCTACTCATTATAATGCTTAGAGAGCATGCATCTAATTATTTAGAGGGAGGAGGGACTAATCAGCAAAAACTAAATTCTCATATGGATCTCTTGGTCAACTAAAAGATCCAACAAGCTGAGGTCGCGTAGTAAACCAGAAGTGTCTGGTTCATTTCACATCAATTACACTCCAGAAACTGTCATTTGGCTTCCCACCGTCATATCTCAGCTAATAGAAATCAGATCTATAAAGATCATTTTAAAGTACACACATTTATGAAAATCATTATATAGATTTCAAAGTTGTATCACTTTATCTTTAAAACATGTATTCCACCAACCACTCACTGTCTGAAGCATACTGTATATCATGGCTGATTTTAATTGGCACAAACCCGACACAACATGAAGCCTAGGCTTGTTTTTACCCAGCGACGTGACTCTTGCAACCACACTTTGTGTGTGTGTGTGGACATTTAGAGTGATGCTTTGGAAATGAGTGATAATTCTTTCATATGTTCAATGCCAGAAAAAAAAATAGCAAAATCGAAAGGTGTCCTAGTATGCTAACTCACAGCTTGACAGGCAAGGAGATAGAGATGTTTGCTAAGCATTCACTATCTGGTTCAAATCCCCATTAATATAGAACCTAGGCCTACAGGTATTATATATGTTGCACAAAGGCTACTCAGGTTTGAGTCTCGTCACTTGTTTCGTTTCTTAGTCAAAATACTTTGTTCAGTTTAGTATGTAACGCTAGGTTTGAAAAGCCAAATTGTCGCCAAGTACTAGTTGCGAGGTTACAAAAAAATTCTCCCTTGGGAGCTATAAGTTTGTGTCCCATGGCAATTTGATCAAGGATATTATGTGACGCACAGAGGCCTTGGGACAAGAGAGAACATTGATCACGTAACATTGATTCATTGACTATTTTACACATCTGAGTGCAATGACTTCTTGAAGGGATGCGAGTAAAGTGGTCGGTGAGAGAGTTGGTTATTAGCCATGGCTTTCGGAGAATTATAGAAAAGCTCTTCGGAACTAGTGTACAGTAAGTGTTCAGAAATAACAATGTTTGGCACACTTTCTTTGAGTCAAATGATGTTTTATTCATCTTTCTTATTGTTTATTACTAATGATAATAAAAAAAACTATGGAAACACTCGTTTTTCTATAAGGCCGTAAAAGACATTGTGCAAATCAACAAAACAGAAATTAAATAAAAATTACAAACAAATTACAAATAAGAAAATCCCATTACTGTATGAAACTTAACAACATTAACTAAACTAAGTGATCTTAAATACACTTACATCATTAACTGTAATACTTTTGATAGTATAATCAAAACTCTTAATCTGCAATAACTATAATCTATGAAATGATAATTGATCGATTTCAATATGTAACATGCAAGTCTCAATTGTCTGAAACTTTCCTGTGATTGCCTTGTTGTCTTTTTGTACCATTTTTAATTATATAATTTAACAATTTTACTGTTTTATAGCTTTTTAACTTTTATATATCTATGTATTTTGAATGTAAATTTGGTGCAATTCAGTTTATTCTGCAATGCCATTGGATTTAAGTTGAATAAACCAGATTTGAATTGAATTGAATTGATTAATTTGTTATTTTCATTTTAAAATTAGAAATTGTATTTGAGTTTTTGAGGTCACTACTTAGTTCTTTCTATAATTTAGCATCTCTTTATAAAAGACTTTTGGTTTGGGTAGTCTTAAATGATTTTTAGATCTTGGGTCATAGGCTCATTCTTTAATATGGAATCTGCTTGTTAGAAGTTGGTGCTAAATTATTAGTAATATTTTGAACACTGATGGCCTCATTATGATACAACCTCCTCTCAAGGTTATCTAAGTTCATCATCATCATTATTATTGGTTCCATAAACTTAGCCGTCGCGGTCATGGAGTACGGCTGATACGACTTTATTTTCTTTTTGTCCTGCAGTCAAGTTCAATAATTCTGACCCATAGATGCTGCAATTGCTCTGAGTAAATGGATTTTTGATTTTATCATCTTTCCATCTGAAGATGTTTCGGATCTTCCATCTTCTATAATGAAGGTGCCCAAGTATTTGCAGGCCTTTTCTTCATGAAGCTTCATACCCTGTACTGTTATGTTAATGGAACCCCATCTCCAAAAACTGTAATTTGGCACCTAAGCTAGTCTTCAATTTTATCAGTACTGATGGCCATTCCCAGTAGCAACCTTTCCAATTTTATCAAGTCAGCTAATTCTCCTATACTATGTATTTGCAATGAGGTAAATATTATCAGCGAACCTCCAATTAGAGATTCTTCTGCCACCAATAGAAAGTGATAATATAAATCTTTCAGGTGCATTTGTCATATCTCCTCCAAAAACACTGAGTTAAAAAGGCATAGTGACTGTACACCTTTTTTTTGTCTTCACCTACTGTGGTTGGAAACCAATGGCTAAGTGCTGTGTTGACCAAAACTGTATTTCTTGAATCATGGAATAGAGATTCACTTACAGGCTTTACTGTTGTCAATGTTGCATTTTGTCATAATCTGAGTTGCCTTCTGCCATACTTTATCAAAAGCTTTTTTGAAGTTGATAAAGTTGTGGTAGACTTCCTTTGGATGTTCAGCCATTTTCTCAGATATGTAGATTAAAAAAATAGTTTGGTAGTGCTTCTGCCACTTCTGAGCCAGCCTATTATTCTGCTGCTTTTTTTCCCCCGTAAGACAATTAGGATAAATAAACAAGACATTGAATGAGTATTAACCTAAATTTTGACAAGTTCTAAATCAATCGTGAGTAAATTAATGAACCTCACACACTATGTAAGCGGATACAATACTTTTTTTTCAGTATATTTATGTCTGCACGCAATTGACAGAGCAAATTGAGACATGATTCATAGTAATCAACCCTTTGATTAAGATATGAAAATTGATACACTCATCAAAATTCAAC